ATTTCTCCACTTTGAAGGCTCCTCCTTGTGAAACTCCAGCCCAGCCTTTAGTTCTCAGTCTAGACACTGTTTCCTCCAGGACGTCATCCATGACCACTCTACCACCAGATCTAGGGAAGGAGGCCCCCTGCTGCTCCATAGCCTCCTTCTCATGACTGCATTGATGAGGCTGTCTCATCACTTTCTGTTCTTTGTGAATCTCCTTTTAAGCGGAAGACGTGCAGGGCAGTCTTGCAGCCTTGGTTGCTGCTGCACTCACAGCACCTAGTCCTGCCCAGCACAGACACACAAACACAAGGAGTGAACAAGAGCTGGAAGGAATCTTCACAGCGGCTGCTCACTTCAGCTTAACGAGTCTTCGGCTTCAGCTGCTTTCAGATAACATCCTCCTTGTCTTGGCTCGTTCTGCCTCCTGCAGTTCTGTCTTACGCTGCACTGCCTCCTGGCTTGCAGCTTCTCATAAGGACAGCACAGTCCTTTCTGCCCTTCCTCTCATCTCATCTCTCTGGCTAGATGACCTAGTTAATGGTCCCCAAATTGTCCCAGCACTTCCCCATCGTTTCCACATAACTTACCTTTTTCCTTCCCTCTGAAACTCACCTTCTGGCTGTGGCTTCCATAATTTTGCACATTTAATTCCCTGGTGCTGTTCACTTCTTGCCTCCCAGGTTCAGCTAAGCCCCTGAAGTAATTTAGGTAACAGCTCAATTATCTCATCTCTCCTTAATCTTTCCATTTCCATCACCACCTAGGAAGCAGTGAAAATGAGATAAGCAATGCATTTTCTGCCCAAATCTACTGCTCCCCTTGCAGTTCTTATCTCAGTTCATGTCATCAGCATCTACCCAGTCGCCTGAGATCTCAGCCTCAGAATCACCATCTGCTACTTTGTCCTCTCTCTGCTGTTTCCAGGAAGTCTCCAAGAGGATCTGCTCTCCTGTTGAGAAGTCTCTCAAGTCCAGTTTTCTCTGGCTGCATGGCTATACCCAGGCCTCACCATATCTCTTTTGAACCAGGAGTTCCTGCCTGGTCCTCTTGCCAATAGCCCCATATCCCTGCTCATCCACCCACCCACCTACTCATCCATCCCTTCATCCTCCAATCTGCCCTCAATGATCTTGCCAAAACACATGTTGGTTATATCCTACCTCTGCTGAAATAACTTCCATGACTCTCCACTGCCCATAGCAGACATTCTGATTTATTTATTTTAGAAACAGGCTCTTGCCTATTTCCCAGGCTGGAGTGCAGTGGCATGATCACTGTAGCTTCAACCTCCTGGGCTCCAGTGATCCTCCCACTTCAGTCTCCCAAGTAACTAGAACTGTGGGTGCGCGCCACTACACCTGGCTAATTTTTAAATTTTTTGTAGAGATGGAGTCTGGCTATGTTGCCCAGGCTGGTCTTGAACTCCTGGGCTCAAGTGATCCTCTTGCCTCTGCCTCCCAAAGCCCTGGGACTGCAGGCATGAGCCACTGCACCTGCATCCCTAAAGCAGGCATTCTTGATTCTGGCTGCACATTAGAATCCTCTAGAGTATGACAATGTGAGTACCATGCTCTACCCTCAGAGATTCTGATTTTGTCTTGTATGGGGCCTGGGTCTTGGTGATTTTTTTAAGCTCCCCAGGTGATTCTAGTGTGCAGGACAGATTGAGAACTATGTGATCTAGAAAATAAGGAGTCCATGGGACTCCACTTAGCCTGGCAGTGTGCCCCACAATTGGGCCTTTAATCTGTATCCCCAGCCTCATGTCCTCCAGTTCTCCACTAACACACTCAGAATTCCATCTCTCCTGAGCTACTTCACTATATTTGTGCCCACTACTCCTTCTACCCACAATTTCATCCTCTCTCTGACTTCTGACCATTTGGAAAACTCCTACTCATCCTTCAAGACCCGGCATCACAAATGCAACCTTTTTTCAGGGGTCTCTCTTCCATGCATCTGCTATGTGGCAGGCAGGTTGCTGGGTGCTGGATGTGATGACTGCAACAGAAATGGTCCCTGCTCTCAAGAGCTCACAGTAGGGTGAAGGGGAAGGATGGAAACTCCTTAAGGTAGAAGGTCTCTAACTTAAGTATGCATCCAAATCACCTCAAGCGCTTGTTAAAACACAGATGCTGGATGCAGCTCCAGGGCTTCTGAGTACAGGTGGTCTGGGGCTGCCCTGAGAACTTATATTTTCAAGTTCCTAAGTGATGCTGCTGCTGCTGGTTCAGGGGCCACAGTGAGAACCACTGCCTTAGTGTGTGGTCAGGGAAGTGCTCTCTAGGGAAGTATCGCCTAAGCGGAACCTGCAGTAATAGAAAGAGGCATTCATGAGAAGAGCAGGGACTGTGGTATTCCAGGTAGAGGGAAGAGCACGAAGGCCCCAGTGGGAATAGAAGGGATCACGTGCCTGGTACCCAGAGTGCACTGGAGAGAACAATGCCTTCTGCAGCTTCCCCAGCAGAACTGATGCTCTGTGTGTCTCTCTGTTGTAGACTAGAACCACCTTCCACTCTAAATCTTTTTTTCTGACACAGCCACTCAGCAGTGAGCCCCCTCCAAGGCAGGGTGTGCATCATAGCCACCTTTGTGTGCCCAGAGCCCACCAAGACCTGACACAGTAGATTCTGAGGGATTCTAGCTGGGGTCGAATTGTAGCATCCTGGCTCTTTCTCTAGGCTATAAGCCAAGGAGAAATCTGTTTGTTTCATAGCAGTATCCTAAATGCTTCGTCGTCCTTCCTTTTCCTTAGATAGTTCCCATCCTCTATCTGAACCTAAATTCCGTCTCTCAAATTTCTGCTGCCTAGATAGATTTTTAGCACATTTGATGAGAAAAAGAAAAATTCCTTGAAGTCAAGGTAGCCCTGCCTCACCTACCTTCCTAAGGCCCAGGAGATAGAGAGAGGTGGGGTGGTGGGGGTGGGATGGCGAGAGCAGTTCAGAGGCCCTTCTACTTCACTTTGGGGAGGTGGATGTGGTCATAGTGGGAGTTGGCAGAATTGCTGTATTAGTCCATTTTCATGCTGCTGATAAAGACATACCCGAGACTGGGAAGAAAAAGAGGTTTAATTGGACTCACAGTTCCACATGGCTGGGGAGGCCTCAGAATCATGGCAGAGGCAAAAGGCGTTTCTTACATGGTGGTGGCAAGAGAAAATGAGGAGGAAGCAAAAGTGGAAATCCCCGATAAACCCATCAGATCTCACAAAATTTATTCACTATCACGAGAGTAGCATGGGAAAGACTGGCCCCCAAGACCATTCCTATAACACGTGGGAATTCTGGAAGATACAGTCCAAGCTGAGATTTGGGTGGGGACACAGCCAAACCATAGCAATTGCCTTTCTCAAAAATGCTGATAGTAGGAGACTGTGTTTCCTGAGAACAGAACCTTGGCCAGCTCCTGGAGGTGGTCCACACTCAGGACAGAGTGGGACAAGGCAGGCCTGGAGGGACCCTGGAGCTGCCACCCTCAGGTGGTGGAAGGGCCTTTCTCCTCACATCCTGCCTTTCCAACATCTCTGTCCACACTGGAAAGGAGTCAGGGAGAGACTGCGTTGGAGGACAAGAGCTCCAGCACAGGTGCCCTGTGTGGCAGGAAAGGGTTATTGGTTTGGTTTTTGTTTTGAATTGCCCTTTCTCTTCCTTCCTGGAGAACAGGGTGTCTCTGCCTTTACCTGAGGCTCCCTGAGGGGTCTCTGGCAAATACCGATGGTCCACAACTTAAACATGGGTTGACTTCTAATTTTGAGACTTTATAGCGTTGTGAAAGTGGTACACATTCCGTATAAACCATATTTCAAGTACACATAAAACCATTCTGTTTTTCACTTTCAGGATAGCATTCAACTAGTTACATGATACATTCAACACTTTATTAGAAAATAGGCTTTGTGTGCAATGATTTTGCCCATCCTCAGGCTAATGTGTTCTGAGCACGTTTGAGGTAGAGTAGGCTAAACTATGATGTGCCGTAGATTGGGCTTATTAAATGCATTTTCAACTTAGGATATTTTCACATTGCAATGGGTTTATTGGGATGTAGCCCCATAGTAAGTTGAGGACCATCTGCAGAGCCAAGAGACAGATTTTCTCCGGTCTTATTAGCATCCCAATCTTTGGGAAACAATAGTATAAGGATCTGTGGTTCTCAGACTTGAGTATCTGAATCCCCTGGAGGGCTTGTTAAAGCCCAGATTGTGGGGGGGGGCGTTGTGGGGGGGCACCCCCAGAGTGTGTGACTCAGCAGGTCTGGAGCAGGACCAGAGAGTCCGCATTTCTAACCAGTCCCCAGGTTAGTCTCTTGCTGCTGGTCTTGGAGCACACTCTGAGAACCCCTCCTTTAGCATCACACCCAGCTAGAGAGTGCTAAAAATCTATCAGTCATTGCAGGACAAAGGGTTTTTTGTCTTGCAGTTATTTGTACTTTCCTTAACTCTTCCTCCTGAATACAGAATCTGAACCCTCCTAGTCCCTTTCCCTATAACTCCATGGAGGGGCAAAGGCATGTGTTTCCAAGAGACAGAGGCCAAGAGACAGAAGCCAATCCCTAGGGAAGAATAAAGAAGTTAAGAGCCCAAGAAAATTACAAGGGTTGAGGGAGGCAGGATGGGGAGTGGAAGTATCTACTTTTTGTTCTTTCTATTGCATAGTTCTAGCAATCATACAAGTATAATATTTAAAGCACAATTGGTTTAATATTTCTTAGCTCCAGTGGAGGTAGCTTCTTCCCAGAAGGTAGAGGTACCTGGAACAAGCACCACATTTAGTGGGAGAGTAGAACTGCCTAGGCATCAAAGACCTGGGTTCTGGCCCCAGTGCTGCTTTGTGACCTTGGAGGATCACTTCAGCTGTTGTAGCCTGTTTCCCCAGCTGTATAACATGTAACAACAAGACCGACCTTGAAGGGGCAATGTGGGGGTCAAAAGAGCTGAGGTGGGTGGCAGTGTAAACCATTGTTTGATGACATTTCAATGTAGCCAGTCTGAGCTTTCTTGGTTTCCACAGGAAGGACCAGTACCTCCTCTCACCTGTGAACTGTTGGTATCTGGTTCTGCATCAGACCCGGCGGGAGAGCCGAGACCATGCCACCCTCAATGACATCTTCATGAACAATGTCATCGTCCGCCTCTCCCAGATCAGTGAGGATGTCATCAGACTCTTCAAAAAGGTGGGCAAGTGGGCTCCCCCATGTGTCCCAGGTCTTTGCCCCAAGCTGGCCCATGGTAACACTATACCAGCCAGGGTGGGATGTGGTTTGGAGACAAGGGACCAGAAGGGCAGGTGCATTGAAGAATGCAAGTGGCTGAGGGCTAGACTTGGGACCCCAGCTCAAGTTTGAACCCTAGATGTGCCTTTCAAAAAATGTGTGGTCTTAGCTACTTCAGCAACCACTGTCACAAAAATAAAAACCTTTGCATGGGTAGGTAAGTAGAACATGTTCAGTGTAGAAAATTTTTAAAAATGGAGATGAGCACACACATAAAAATTAAAATGGCTTGAAATGCCATTGTTTGGAGATAACCACTCTGATATCCTAGGAATTTCTCTATATGTACAAATGCAACTACATTTTCTGAGAGTCCTTAAATCGTGTATTTTCTAATGTACATATGCATTTTTTCCAAATCAGATCATAATGCATATATGATTTTACTACCTGCTTATGTCACCTAACAAATTACATAACACTGTATTATATTTTCCCATATCAACAAGCACATTTCCATAACATTTTGAATGATTACATAGTATCTCATTATATAGGTATACCCTAATTTATTTAATGTCTTATTGTTGAGCACTTAGTTCATTTCTGTTATTTTACTCTTATAAATGACTGCTGTGAGCTTTTTTGTCACATTCACTGTTACTTTCTTAGGATCAGTTTCTGCAGTGGGAATTTTAAAGTCAAAAGTATGCTCATTTTTAAAGCTTTTCACAGTGTACCTTATTGCCTCAGAAAGATTTTACCCATATAAACATCCAGAAGCTGAGTGTGGAGGGAGCACTGAGGTTTCTGCATCCCAGTTCCCTTGTACAGTGCCTGGCATGTGTAAGGTGCTGTACAAATGTTTATAGACCTGAACTCACTTCTATGAATTTCAGTTTCCTTGTCTGGAAAATGGGCAAGTCGTTTAGCCTCTGGGAACCTCATCCTCTTGTCTATCCAGAAGAGTTAAGATCAGCTACTTCCCAGGAGGCTGAGGGTTAAACAAATGGTGTGTGGGGAGAGTAGCATTATTGCAAAGTGGTTTGGGATGTGGCCTCTGGGTCTAGAATTCTTAATTCTTGGGTTCATAATCCTGGTTCCATCATTTATTAGCTGTGTATCTTTGGGCTTGTTATTTCAACTCTCTGTGCCTCAGTTTCCTCATTTGTGAAATGGGGATGGAGATAAATACCCGTAGACAGATGGGAGGATTAACAGGCTTGTTGTTCCCGTGTACAGTGTGGAGACCAGCACCTGGCACTTAGTAAGTGCTCGTGAAAGCTATTATTATGTGAATATAAGAGACTATTATTACCAAAAGAATCTAGCTCATCTCTTCTTGCCAGGTGGCAGTTTTAGGGGTTTGGTGACCTGAGATTGCTAGAAGCACAAAGAAGGGGACAAGTTGATTGAAAATATAATCATCTTTCCATGGTCTGTGTGGATTGTCCACTTTGAGGATTACTTCTATAGCAAAATTGTAATCGCAGGCTAATTTCCTCCTGCCACACAATATGCTTCTGGTCTCCTCCTGGGGTCGTGTTTATGAAATGTGGGCTAAGTTTCATATTTGCATAAGCAAACATAATTAGGAAGGTAAATACAGTGGAAAGAAAAAAAAATTACACAGTGCTTTGCAAAGCCAAGCTGAAGTGATCCAGACGTCTTCAAGTTTGGACTGTTGGTCTCATTCCCAGCCCCCGCCTGCTGCTGCTGTCACATCTTTTTTTCTGGGTGGGAGTGACTCACAGGGAAAGGGTCATCAAGGCCTTTAGGCAATGAAGGGTCTTTTTCCTGAGCTGAGCCCTGGGACAAGTGAGATAAATCTTTTCAGTTCTCATTTGGGCTGACAGCAGCCTGACTTGTGATGGAGGTTAACAGGGTGGAAAATAATGAAAAAAATGTCTACAGCTGAGCTCCCGGCTGCCTTGTTACCAGGCCTGTTCCTCTGGAACAAAGGAAACAACCCGGCCCACAAGGGCTTTGGAGAGAAACGCGGACAGAGCCTGGCTGGCTGACTTTGCACAGCACGACTCCTTTGTGTCACATCAGTTATACCTAATTTCGGAACGGAGGCCGGCACTCTTTACATAATAATAGTTCCCACAGACCTCAAAGCAACTGTGGAGGCTGCTGTCTGGTCAGACTGGGGATCCTCACCCCATTTTACAGGTAAGGAGGTAAAGCGCTGGGAGGCTTTGAGGAGAACCCAGACTTGGTGGCCTTGGGCCCCTTGTCATTACCAGCAGAAAACAGCGTGGCTGGGCTTTTGGAGTTTGTCTCAGAACTGCCTATCACTGACCACCCTGGGAAAATCTCTCGAGTCTCAGTTTTCTCATCTGGGAAATGGAGATGGTAACAATGCCAGCTTCATGAGGGGCTGCTTCGATGGGTAGAGGTGGGCCAAGTGTCCAGCCCAGGCCTGGCATCCAGTAGGTGCTTACTAAATGGTAGTTTGCCAGTGATCACTAGGAGCAGAAACAACTCCCCATTCAGAGCTATGATCCTAGGGCTCTACCAAACCACACTCTGGCAGTGAGGCCGCAGGAGACGTGTGTGGCTTCTAGCTCATGTGTCTGTCCTGTGCCTATTTTCTGGCTTTGGCCTGGGTAGCTGCCTTGCCTGCCAGCTCCTCACTGATGTGGGAGCCAGTTTGACTTAATAACTTACCTTTTCATGATTCTCCATTTCCACTTTTGCAGTGGAGTCTGTTCTTATGATTAGAGGCAGGACTTCAAATTCTAGAAGCCCATGCATGTGACCCTTGCTTTAAGTGTTAGATGTGGATCAGCCATAGTAAAATTAAACTGAATGATCCAGGAGGCTATCTTTAGTGATTAGGACTCTTATGATGGCAGACAGCAGAAATGCAGCCTCCCCTGCTTTAGCCTGGCTTCGGGCATGGGAGGCTTCGGGGGAACAAAGGATGTTATTAGAACTCTCTCTACTCCAGTTTTCTCTGTTTCCCTTTCTTGTGAGGGAGGCTAGGGGCTCTTTCATAGTCAGCCTTTCTCCATGTGATGACTAGAGGGCCCCTGGCATCTCCAGGCTTACATCCTCTCTGCTTTAAGTCCCTTTTCCCAGAATGGGTTTTTTGGGTCTCTGATTGGTCCATCACGGGTCACATGAGCAAACCTGGGACTGCACCTGTGGCTGGGGTGCTGCAGGGCTCTGCCTCACCAGGCCAGGAAACATCCTCCCCTGAAGCCAAATGGGCACTCAATTCCACCTAACACGTGGGACTGAGAATGGGTGAGTGGTGGTTCCCCAAGAAAAGTAGGATAAGAATAAGGGAGAAATAAAGCAGGAGATGGCCACTGGACCCTCTTTTCCAGCCCTTTTATCATCATCTACAGCAGCTGTACGCCCTCTGCTAGAGGTCCCTCAATAAAGAACGCTCCTACCTCTCGGAATAGCTCATTCCATGTGGGGACATCCGCGATCAATAGAAAATTCTCCCACATGCTGAAATGGAATCTCATAGTGTTTTCACTCACAGGTCCTCATCTTCCCTAAAGGGCCAAACAGATCAAACCCACGTGGAAACCTGTCAGTTGCTTGAAGGCAGAAATTGTGACCATCCATCGGTCCCTCCTGCCTGTGGGCAGATGTCCCACGTTCCTTCTGTTGTCCCCCTGGGATTTGGCTTTGTGTTCTGTCCCCATCTCAGTCACCCTCCCTGGATCATGCTTCAGTTCTTCTCTGACCTGCAGAGGTTAATATTCAGAACCAGTCAGAATCCTCTAGGAAGGTCTGAGCAGTTCAAGGCAGACCAGGGCTGTCCAGACATTTATTTCTCATAATAAGACCCATGAAGGTGTTTGCCTCTTTGATGATTGTTTTACCACATGATTGACACAATGAACTCTCAGTCAGCAAAAAGTCCCAGATATTTTTGTACCAACTGTTTTTTAATCCAGCCTTTACTTCTGTTTTTGTATGTCTTCATATTTCCCCTTCTAAAACTTCATTTTATTAGATTCTGGTCAAATGGGATCAGTGTCTTTGAGTGATTTTTCAAGCAGTAGGAGGGTAACTGCCAAGAGGTCCTAATTCCTCCTCTGTGGGAAAGGCTGTTTTGTAATTTCTCCATGTCTTCCTCCTCAGTGTCACCTTCTGTGTGTCAACTCTTTGGCTTCCTGTTTGATTCCTCTCTGTTTTCTTAGTGAGAGGTGGAAAGTGGGGCAAAGAGTTGAGAATAAATTCACAGTGGAAGTGACCCTGGAGTTGGGTGTTGACGGATGAATAGGAGCCTGCTGAATGGGGAAAGGAGGTTAGGAGTTCAGGGTCTGGAGAAAGGCCAGAGCCAGTGGGTGGAGTTTATTGTGATGGAGGTTGAAGGAAAAAAAATCAGAACAGAGGCAGCAAAATGGCAGTGCACAACAGAGTTTGGCTCCTACGTATAATCTCCTTGGCCCTCACTATGTTAAGAAAGATGAAGTTGACATTTAAACATTTAAAGATTTCTCCTAAAATCACGATTTTGTGTTTCTCTTGCAAAATCAGAAGCTCTGACTATACCAGCCCGATGTGGACTCACACTTGGCATCAGCTAGTGGTAGCTGAGTGGCTGCCAGCCCCGTCAGCCTGGGCATGCTGTCTCTGCCACTCCCCTCACCCTGCTGCCGTGCAGGGTATTTCACCTTACTTGGGTCCTTGATTTTCCGTCTCTGGCCCTTTGTGCATTTGAGTTTGCAGCCTCATTTTTAAACATTACCTGACTGTGGTTCTTAAATTCTAGTGTGCATCAGGATCACCTGGAGGCTTTATTAAATGCAGACTGCTGCGCCCCAGTCCCACAGTTTCTGATTCAGTAGGTTTAGGGTGGGGCCTGGGAACCTGCATTTGTAGCATATTCCCAGGTGATACTGATGCTCCTGGTCTGGGGACCATACATAGAGAAGGACTCCTAGTCCAACCTCCCAGTTTCACAGATGAGGACACTGAGGCCCATGTTT